TGGGTCGTCTTGGGCACCTCTTGGACCCTCTTGGGCTCTCTTGGAATGTCTTGAGGCGCTCCTGGGAGGCTCTTGGGCCGTTTTGAGACGACCTTGGGGGCCTCTTGGGCCATCTTGGACGCTCTTAAAACAGTGAAATTACGAACAACAGACCAGGGGGCAAAAACATGATGTCCAAAGAGAGTTCGGTAACTTTGGTCATCGAGTGCCTCTTGGGGAGCATCTCGGAGCCTTTTTGGGGCGTCACCTTGGTGGCCTCTTGGGCCGTTTTGAGGCCTTTTTGGTGGCCCCTTTGGAGCGTCCTGGGGGCCTCTTGGAGCGTCTTGGGGCCTCGTAAATGCATCTTTGGGGCATCTTGGGGATTCTCTTGGGGCTTTCTGGAGCTATTCCGGTGCCGTTACGATGCCTCGGAGGGCCAAGAGGGGGGCGAGTGGCGCAGGGACAGCAATCAAAGCTATTCCTAAGGTTCTTGAAAGGCTTTGGCATTTACATTGGGGGGGGCTCCTGGAAAGACCTGGACACTCCAATGGGAGAGCCCCTGGGAGCCCCCAAGACTGCTGTGGGAGGAATCCACTGGGAAGCCCTGCGAAGGCCCTGCGACATTCGTGGGAAACTCCGGGGAGATCCTGGGAGGCTCCAGAAGCCATCTCGGGGGCCTCTTGTACCGTCTTGGGCAGGTCATGGCGGTTTGGGAGGGTCTCTTGGCATCGCTTCAAGTACGCCTACGGCCATCTTCACACATTCGTGGCTGAAGTAAATATCCTGTCCTGGAGGCCGAAAACATGCCCCGTACCCCAGCGGCTGAATGCGATAACAGGGGGGGAGGTCAGAAAAGTCTGAGGCCCTGGGCCCCTTGCCCCGGGACGCCGATGACATTGCCTGCAGCATCATCACCATCATCGTCACCACCCCCACCCCCACCCCAACAACCATCACCATCACCGTCACCATCACCATCACCATCACCATCACCATCACCAACACCACCACCACCCCATATCCCCACCCCCACCCCCACCCCCACCCCCATCCCCATCATCATCATCATCATCATCATCATCATCATCATCATCATCATCATCATCATCATCATCATCATCATCATCATCCTCATCCTCATCCTCATCCTCATCATCTTCCTCATCATCTTCAGTAGCATCAGCATCAGCATCAGCATCAGCATCAGCATCGTCATCATCATCGTCATCATCATCATCGTCATCAACAGCAGCAGCAACATCATCATCGTCGTCATCATCATCAGCATCATCAGCATCATCATCGTCATCATCACCATCATCGCCATCACCATCACCATCACCACCATCACCATCACCATCACCATCACCATCACCATCACCATCACCATCACCATCACCATCACCATCACCATCACCATCACCATCACCATCATCATCATCATCATCATCATCATCATCATCATCATCATCATCATCATCACCATCACCATCACTGCCCGCATCGTTCACGTGTGCCCCTCCGTGTGGCCTTGCGCCCATCCTGCCACTGTGCCTGGGTTGTTGATCAGAAACCTTGTGTATGCCTGTTGGTAGCCGCCGAGCGACCGCTTGGAGGCAGTCCTGTAGCCTCTTGGAAGGTGATTCGGGGCCTTTGGGGCTCTCTGTTAAGCATATTGGGAGCCTCCTCGTGGGTCCTCTTGAAGGTCGTCTCGGGAGCTTTCTGGGGGGTCCGCTCGGGGCGGAGGCCTCCAAATGACATGTCTGTCGGAGTTCTCCTCTGGGGCCGCTCTAGGGGCCTTATTGGGGCCGTCTTGGGCGGTCTTGGGCGCCTCCTGGGCTCTCTCAGGGCTCTCTTGGGCGCCTCCTGGGGCCTCTCGGGCTGCCTTGGAGCGGTCCTGTGGGCCTCTTGGGCCAGAGATGAGGTTCGCATCCCGCCCCCTCTCCTATTTCGGCACACACCTCTCACACGGATCGTGGCCCACATGGATCTCTACCTGCGGCCCCAGAAGCAAGGTTCGCACTGCGCCCCCCCCCCTCCGCCCCTGGCCATTGCGGCACACCCCATCACGCAGATCGTGCCCACAAGGAGCACTATCTGAAAGCCCAGAGACAAGGTTCGAACAACGCCCCCCCGCCCATTGCGGCACACCCGTCACACAAGTCATGCCCCAGAAGGAGCTTCACCTATGGGACTAATGGGCAGCTTCGAATGGCGTCCCCCCGTCCATTTCAGAACATCCCTCGCACGGGTCGTGCCAGAAGGAGGTCCACCTGCGGCATCAGTGGGGGTGTTCGCGCGGTGGCATCCAAAATCATTCGACACACCCTGCACGCGGATCGTGCCTCACAAGGAGTCCAGCGCACCCGTGCGCGCGTGCTCCGCAGCAGCCATCTTTCCGCATTGCCCCGCGGCGCGCAGTGTATGAAGAGAGACCCGCGCCCTCAGCGAAGACAAGTTGGCCTCCCGCTGCGGGAGGGCGCCTGCGGAAGTCCCGCAGGGGCCCTCCCAGGGCGCATCTTGGAGTCTTCTTGGGACGTCTTCGTGGCCTCTTGAGCCGTCTTATTCGCGCGTCTGCGGCCTTGTCAGTCCGCTCTGGTCGCTTCTAGCCTCTGGAGCGGTTTGGGCGACGGGGGAAAGGCCAAGGAGGCCCAGGAGGCCCCGCACGGGGTCAAAAATGACGTGGGCCAGAGGGGGGATCCGGGAGGGTGTCTGGGCCTGGACCCCAGGGCCCCTGAGTGCAGCATCGATTTTGCGTGCAGGGTCTTCGAATGCGGAGGAGCCGAGGCATGTATTGCACAAGGTCTCTCGTAGCGGCCTTCACGAATGCTGTAAAGGGTGGGCGCTCACCTGCATCACAAGCTACCAAAAGACCCTTAACAGCTCGCGCTGCCGGACCGCGCGGACACATATGTAGAAGAGGGGCAATGTCGCATGCCGTGCCTGAAAGGTTCTGTGCCCAAAAGGCGCACGCATCTATCCACAAAAACCGAACACGACTGCCTAAGACCCGATACAGACAGGTCATGGGATAGGGCCCACGCAGCAGCCTCCAGGCTGTGGCTTGAATGGCAACCAGATGCTGCCGGACAGCCACTGAAAGTGGTGCAAAGTGGCACAAGCCATGCACAGAAGTCTCAGAAGCCCTGTAAAACAGACTACAGACATGCTGGGGGAGAGGACCCACCCATGTCGCGCTGCTGGTCAAGGAGGTTCTGCGGGGTGGACGAAGACAAAGACGAGGCACCGTCGAAAAGAGCTAAAGGCACAACCTGATGTGCCGGTCAGTCAAAATACCGGAGCCAATGCGGGGGCGCGGAGTTTGAGCGGCAAGGCGGACCTGCAATACTGTATGCTTGTCAGCGTCGCGCTGCTGGTCTCGCCAACCGCGGACCCGACTTCGCCCCCTCCCTCCACCTGTCCACCTCTTGGCTGCTGGTCTCTCACCGTGGGATCTAATGGCATCAAACGCTGAAAGCCTGAAAGGATGGCAGTCAAACGCAGGCTGTTGGCTGGTGGTCTGGCGGACTGGGGAGCGCTGGGGAGCGCCAGGGCGGATAGAGAAGAGAAGACGAGGACATTGGATGCGAATATTTAGAATGCGTCCGCGCGCGCGCGTGTGTGTGTGTGTGTGCGTGTGCGTGTGCGTGTGTGCGTATGCGTGCGTGCGTGCGTGCGTGCGTGCGTGTGTGTGTGTGTGTGTGTGTGTGTGTGTGTGTGTGTGTGTATGCGTGCGTGCGTGCGTGCGTGCGTGTGTGCGTGGGTGCACGCGCGCGTGTGTATGTGTATGTGTATGTGTATGTGTATGCGTACGTGTATGTGTATGCGTGTGCGTGTGCGTGTGCGTGTGCGTGTGCGCGTGCGCGTGCGCGTGCGCGCGTGCGTGCGCGTGCGCGTGCGCGCGTGCGTGCGCGTGCGCGTGCGCGTGCGCGTGCGCGTGCGCGTGCGCGTGCGCGTGCGCGTGCGCGTGCGCGTGCTCGTGCTCGTGCGCGTGCGCGTGCGCGTGCGCGTGCTCGTGCGCGCGCGCGTGCGCGTGCGCGTGCGTGTGCGTGTGCGTGTGCGTGTGCGTGTGTGCGTGTGCGTGTGTGTGTGTGCGTGTGTGTGTGTGCGTGTGTGTGTGAGCGTGTGTGTGCGTGCATGCGTGCATGCGTGCGTGCGTGCGTGCGTGCGTGTGTGCGTGTGTGCGTGTGTGCGTGTGTGCGTGTGTGCGTGTGTGTGCGTGTGCGTGTGTGTGCGTGTGCATGTCTGGCGGACTGGGGAGCGCCAGGGCGGATAGAGAAGAGAAGAAGAGGACATTGGAACATTGGATGCGAATGTGTTGAATACGTGCGCGCGCGCGTGTGTGTGTGTATGTATGTGTGTGTGTATGTGTATGTATGTATGTATGTATGTATGTATGTAGGTAGGTAGACAGGCAGGCAGGCAGGTAGGTAGGTAGGTAGGTATGTGTGGGTGGGTGGGGGGCGTGTGTGTGTGTGTGTGTGTGTGTGTGTGTGTGTGTGTGTGTGTGTGTGTGTGTGTGTGTGTGTGTGTGTGTGTGTGTGTGTGTGTGTGTGTGTGTGTGTGTGTGTGTGTGTGTGTGTGGTGTGTGTGGGGGGGGGGGCGTGTGTGTGTGTGTGTGTGTGTGCGTGTGCGTGTGCGTGTGCGTGTGTGTGTGCGTGTGTGTGTGTGTGGTGTGTTTGTGCGTGTTCGGGTGTGTATGTGTGTTTGTGTGTGTGTGTGTGTGCGTGTGCGTATGCGTGTGTGTGTATGTGTGTGCGTGGTGTGTGTACGTGCGTGCGTGCGTGCGCGTGTGTGTATATGTAGGTGTTCGTGTGTGGTTGTTTTTTGTTTCCGCTTCCCGCTCTTACGTGCGAAGAGTTGGAAATACGAAAGCGAAACAGCAACGCGGCATTTACGGCCGATGCGCTATAGCATGAAAAGGCATGGCATTTAGAGCAGTGGACAACAACTTTAGCACTTCCCTCATACTCCCCACTGCCAACGTCCTCATCCTCCTCATCCTCATCTCTCCCCGATCACCACCAACCGAATCCTCCGCGTCATCCTCCCGAGCGTCATCCTGATCACAAAATACAAGATGAAGGCGGCGCAGCCCAAGGGCGCGATTAGCCTCGTGGCCAGACCCGCCTCCCTCCTTGACATAGCGCAGAGTGGGACGCGCGGATGACGCGGGTCCCCGTGCTGGCGTTGTTTGGCTGTTCGTGCTTTACTTTGAAACAAAAAAACTGCCGCTCCCGGGTGAGTCTAAGCCGTGGCAGCCTCGTCGGCAAGCAACTGGCGGGGGCTCGTCGCACGTGGAACGCGAGGGATGGGTGCAGCAGATGATGACTCGAAGAAGTGCCCCGGGCAGCCTGCGTGGAGGAGGATGGGAAGGAGCGCAGGGGGTCGAGCTACTCGGGGTCGAGCTACTCGGGGGAGGAAGAGGAGGAAGAAGAGGAGGAGGAGGAGGAGGAGGAGGAGGGGAGGGGGCGACGAGCGAAACCAGGAACGGCTCAAGGATGGATGCAACAAAAAAAAAATGGGGGAGGCACGCCGGCCGGACACTTGTCGCGACGAATTGCGTGACAAAGTCTGGAGCGCAACGCGCCCGCACACTGCGGAACGCTGCCGCTGCTCCACGGCTGCGATGCGAGGCACACGCCGCGGCACTGCAGGCTGCAGGAGACCAGCCGGCGAGGTCCCGCCCGTCCGCTCCTGGGATCACGCGGCGACCTTGCCAAGCCAAGTCCCGAACACCGCATTGGCCAGGGCCGTGCCTTCGTTCGGGCACGTCCTCCTACAGGCAGGTTTTGGAAGAAGAAATTCAAACAGTCCAGAACTGTTCAGAAAGATCCTAACCATGATCAAAAAATCGTCCCCTGACCATTGCTTGACTGCTCTGGAATATTCCTCCTGTAGAGGGACGTGCCCGACTTAAGCCTTCGCTCGGACCCGCTGTCGTCACAGCGAGAGGCTGCAGAACGTGGTTCAGATGGCCCCCGAGGCTGCGAAGGCGGCAGGCGGCGCAGAGAGCTTCGGAGAACGCCGGGCGAGTCTGCAGCGAGGCCTGCCGCTGCTGGAGCGCCATGGCCCTCTGGCACGCGGCGCCGCTGCGTGCGCGTCATCGGCCGGCGATTCGGCTCCCCCGAGCTGGCGCCCGCCAGCAAGCCTGCCGTGCGGACCAGCCGCGTGGGCCACGGGATCTCGTCCTCGCGCGTAGGAGGCTCCACTCCCATCCGCTCCTGCTGTCCCTTGCCGCCGACGCTCCCCGCCGACACACCGCGGGCGTCGAAGCGGAGGTGCAGCTGCGTATGCTTCTCAGACGACATCGTCTGCGGGCCTGCGGCGTCCGTACGTTCACGTGCTGCGAGTGCGTCCTGGTCGTTCGACCTGTCACGGAAATGAGAAGAACCAAAACGGCTTGATCCAGAACGGCTTTACCCAAAAACTGATGTTACAGACATGTTTAACTTCCTGGCGGCCTCCAGGTGACCTCCTGAGAGCGTTTTTCGAGCGTCTTGGGGGTATTTTCGGGCCTCTTGCAAGGCCTCCTGAGGGCCTCTTGGGGTCTCTTGGGGGGGCCTCTTCGAGGCGTCGTCGGAATCCCGTTGGGCATCTCGGAGCCTCTTGAGGGCCTCTGGGGGCCCGTTGGGCATCTCGGAGCCTCTTGAGGGCCTCTGGGGGCCCCTTGGGGGCCTCTTGGAGTCTCTTGAGAGCCTCTTCGGGCCCCTTGGGGGCGTCGTCGAAGCCTCCGGGGCGCCTCTCTGGGGTCATGCTCAAGTTGCGGAAGTGTATCGGCAGCACAGCGAGGAAGCTAGGATGCTGTCCTCTCGAGAGGCTCCTCGGGGACCTCGAGGCGCTGTCATCAGCATTCGGGGGCCGTCGGGAAGACGTGTCAGGACTTCTTTTGAAAGCTCCGGGAGCTCTCTTGGGGCCAAATTGAACTGTCTGGACCATCTGGAGGGAATCTTTGGTCGTCTTGGCGGCCTCGAGGGCCGCCTGGAGGCGCTGATGTTTTCCTCTTGGGGCCTTCTGGAATGCCTCTGGCAGTCGTCTTGGAGCGTCTTGAGGGCGTTTTGGGCTTCTGGAATCTCTCGTGGAACATCCTCCTGGGGGCCCCCTCCCCCCACCAACAGCTCCCCACATGCATCGCCCCCCTCAGGCCACGATCCCTCGTAAGACAATCATGGGTCCGCGCTCCCGATGCCACAACGTCTGGTGAAAAACAATGGATCTGTGTTCCGAGCTTCCGAGACGGCCCATGCAGGCAACCAAAGACACCAAAATGGCCCAACATGCATCGAAGACGGTCCAAGATGGCCTCAAGACGGCCCAAGATGCTACCAAGAGGGCCCAAAAGGGCCACAAGAGGACCTCCAACAGGGCCCGAAGAAAGCAGTCTATGCCTCCTGTGGATTGTGGGGGGTCAAGCCCCATTTTCCCCTGTTTCACTGTGCTGACACGCTTACCTTCACGCCGGCGTTTGGGCCCCCAAAAAAGGAGCGCCTGCCTCCCAGGGCAGAAGCAGCGGGGGACTGGCCGCCACTGTGGGTTTCGGTCTGACGACCGAGGTTCTCCGGATCTGGCCCCACCCCGACGGGAAGGACACGAGCGAGGAGGGAGCGAGAGTGAGAACGACGTCGGCTGCGGAGCTCCGTGGCTGGCCCCACGGAATCCAGGACGAGATTGCGGGGACTACTCCAGACTTCGTACTAAAAGGGAGGGGGTCTGGACCCTCCAAGACAAGCCATTTCAGACCTCCCCCGTGGGAGAACCCTCCAAAACATCGTCCCCAGACCCCCCAGGCCGTCCAAGATAGCCTGGAAGAGACCCCCCCCCCGAAATGAGACCCCCCGCCCTTTATTACGAAATCTGGAGTAGCCATCCCCACGTGCCATGGCGAGTGGAGAAAACTAGAACAGCTCAGTCGATCCCAGGATCCCGGTGCTGAAGGGCGAAACGTTGAAGGACTTCACCAGGTACAAGAAGGCGGTTCAGGCGGCGGGGCTGGGATGCGAGTCGAAAGAACAACGTACAGCCCGGGGCCCGAAGTTGTATCGGAACCTCCTCGGCGCAGACAACTCGATCAGCGTGCTGATCGAGCAGACGGACCCGAGAGACTACGCCGTGGAGGATGGAGCTAACGTGCCGCTGAAGTTTCTAGAGACCGAACGCTTCGCGAAGAGCAGTTTCCGTGCGTTGCCGAAGGCGTTCGACACGTTTTTCGACCTACACACTTCGAGAGGAAAGGTGAAGAGCCAATGGCGGCGTTTTGCACGGCCATGGAGGTGGCGAGACGGAACTTGGAAGAAGAGGACCCGGACACGATGATCAGCTCGAACGAGCTAGGGTACCACACACTGAAGCGTAGCAGTTTGGACAAGGACGAACGTAATCTGGTGATCGCGAGGGCGGATGAGACGTTTGATTTTGAGAAGATATCAAGTGCGCTGAAGAATCTCTTCCCTCGCGGCGGAAGTAGGCAACGAGGACAAGGTAATTGGACGGGCTGGAAGTGGACGATGCATGCGAATGATCCTGGGAACGGACAAACTGAGGGAAAGGACCCGCACCACAGTGACCACTGGGTCCAGGACGACGACGGGCATACTGGTATGAGTGGGACGAAGACCTCGGAGTCTACACGTGTACGGAGGAGGACGAGGAAGGGACTGGGACAGCACTCACCGGTTCTACCTCGAGGATGAAGCTGACGCGTCCCTGGCTGGAGAAGATGGCGACTACCACCAGACCCTCGTCACGATGCGAGAGAGCCGCCTCAAGATGAACAGGCTGCGGGCGGCAAGGGGGTTTTTCAAAGGAAGAATCGACGGCGTGGTGGGCGAGAGTGCGGCAGCCGGCGGTCAGGCAGCAGGCAAAAAACCCTGCAGAAGCAAAGGAAAGGGCAAGGACGGCGGCAAGTCGAAGGACAAACGTTGCAGCAGGTGTGGTCGGATGGACCACAACGCCTCGGGCCCGCCGGCCGGCAGTGAGCTGCGCGCACTCCGGGGAAACGCATCTGGTCCAACACAAAACAACACGCTGTCAGCCCCAGTCGCGGACCATGCCAAGGATGCCGTCGGCGGACATGCCGAAGGCGTTGGAATACGGATGGGGGGGAGAGGGGAAAGGAAAGAGAAGAGCGCGGGACGGGGTCGAAAGCTCGCGGACCCCACACTGGCGCCGAGGCACAAGCTGTTTAGGGAAAAGAATGCCCGAACCCACCCCTATCCCCCCCGCGACCTGCGTGGGCCACCCGGCCAGCGGAGGACGTCATAGGGGGCCGGGGAGCTACGTCGATGAGAGAAGGAAGGAAAAGAAAGTGAAGGGAGGACAGGGCAGACGGAAGCCCTTCCAGGCTTTTCCGTGCGTGTGAGATTGCCATTTGGGCAGAACGTTGCGGGGGCGAACCCGCGCGTCGCTCGAAAGCGACTGCGACCCCTGGCTCTCTCGCGCGCGTCCTCCACAAAGCAAGGCCATGCTAGACCGCCGCGATAAGTTGAACCGGGTGAACGCGCGGACCCGCCAAAAACGACTTACTTTGTGGGAGAAGTTTTGATGCTGGGCGAAATCTTATCCATTCTGAGACGTAGCGTGGACACGTGGTCCACACGTCTGGGTCCGACCACAACTGTCCACATTATGCGGCGCGTCAATTTCCCAAGGTGGATGCGTCGGCATTGCTAGTACTCAAACATCGAACTCATGGTGAACACCACGCAGACAGATGCAATGGCGCCGTTGCAAGTTGTTGGCGCGTGCGGCATGTCGTGAAGTCCGTGGTGATGTCACACTCGATCTCACGATATGTGTATATATATATGTACATACACACACGACTGCAGTGGCGCTTCGCGCCATGCACCTTGGTCCTTGAATTTTGCTGTGCAGGCGGGGTAGCAGGAAGGTCAAACCGACAATTCAGCGATAACTCCTGGTTGCCTTTTCTGGCATCGCCGCTGTAATAATATTAGCTATTCGTTACCCTTCCTCCATGTCTCTTTTTCCTTATTTTCGCCATGCCCTGCGCATTCCCCCCTATACTCCTCAGCTTTTTTTGCGGGGGTTCCTCCTTGGAGAGCCTCTAGGGGCCTCGCAAAAGTTGTTGCAGGTTTTCTTAAGGCCTTCTGGAGACCTCCTGGGCGTATTCTGGGGGCCTCCTGGGGCTTCCTCGTGCCGCCCTGCCTCCAACCGCGGTCTCCCTGAACGACCATATCACGATTTGGAATTCTTCGGAAGGGGGTGTCTTTGGGCCATCTTGGGCCGCCATGGGGCTCTCTGAGGGCCATCTTGGACCCGTGTTGTGCCGTTTTGGGGCTCTCTTGGACTGCCTGGAAGCTCTTTCGGATGGTTGTGGGGCGATTTTGGGGTCTCCCAGGCGGCTTCGGACGCCCCAGAAGACCGCCGTCTTGGAGCGTCGGGAAGCCGAACAGAGGAGACCCCTAAAAGTCACCAAAAACCCACTGACAATCAATGAATTTTGCCTCGGGTGCCTTCTTGGGAGTGCTCTTGGAGGCCTCTTTGGGGCCGTCCTGGAGGCCTCTTGGGCCATCTTGAGGTCACGTCGGTCACTCTTGGAGCGCTCTTGTGCTGTCTTGGGGGTCTCTGGGACGTTTCCGATGACCCCCGTGATCGCCCTAGGCGTGCTGGGAAAGCTTAGCAAAACGCCATGTGAGACCGGGCGGCCGCTTCGAGGCCCGTCTGGAGGGCCCCGAAGCCCCAGATCCCGGGAGTCCAATTTTCTTTTTTGGGGGGGGGCGGGTTTTCACCCCCGCCCGGGCTTATAAAAATACAGGAAGAGGAATCCATATATATATATATATATATATACACACACACACACATACTAGAATCATCGCGCGCGCTTCGCGCGCGCTCAAGTTCTAACTAGGATAATCGTCATCGTCATCATCGCCATCCTCATCACCATCATATCTGGCGTCATCGTCAGCGGCATCGCCATCATCACCATGACCATCACCATCATCACAATCGTCACCATCACCACCATCAGCAGCAACATCGTCATCACCATCGTCATCATCGCCATCGTCGTCATCATCGTCAATATCGTCACCTGAATTATCAACATAATTATCCTCATCATCGCCATCGTCATCATTATCGTCGTCGTCTTCGTGATCGTTGTCATCGTTATCGTCATCATCATCGTCATCATCTTCATCATCCGCCCACTCGGGCATCACAAGCACCAAAGGTCGGGATTTGCGGGTGACTCGCTGTCTGAGAAAGATTGCGGCCAACTTGGGCCAGTTATAGAATGTCGCAGGGCTTTCTTGAACTGGCTTTGGAACTGTCTAGGCGCTGTCTTGGGGAGCCAAGTGTCTCTGGCCCCATTGACGCCGTCCAGGGTTGCCAGATCGCTGTCGCGACGCAAGTCTGAGCTTGCGGGTTCGATGCCACCATATTTTCTTGGCCTGTCTGG